GAAAATGCATGTTCTCCAAGATCAGCTCAAATGCTTTGACTACTGCCTTATCTCTGCTGTACTGGCAGGAGGATGCCTCTTCATAAAATAACACATTTTATATGAGACAAACCAGCTTCAGGTAGGAAAGCAAAGCAGACTACTCTTATGCTTATATACTTATGCTTTTTTCTTACTTTATACCAAGACACTCTCTGGTAGGTGATTGAGGTGTCCCGAAGAACTTCACAGGGCAGCAGCGCTTCTTCAGCACATCTCACAGTAATGTCTGGGACAGGCACAGAAGCCCCACAGATCAAGCACCAAACTGCAAAGCACAGGTAAACACTGTCTTTAAAAGAGATTGCTTAGGTAATCCTTCCTGTCTTCCCAAAACATATCCCCACAAAACAAATGTGAAAGACCAGAAACAAAAATGCAGGGCTTCCCACTTACCATTGCTCAGAATGATGAGTAGAATGTAGACTACCAAAGACATGGCTTTTACTGCTTCAAAACAGAAAGCAGCAACAACGTGCCTCTGCACCCGGTGGACTGTGAAAGCACAGTGAAAGTGCTACGGCTTCTAGAGTGGTATTTCTGGAGTCAGAGTGGGAAATCCCCTTCATGGCCTATCCCAAAGTTCCTCGTCACAGGGAAAATCCCTACGTGTAGGAGCCAGTGCTCCTCCCATTAAATCTGTTACATCATTCCCATTTCTGTAACTGCTTGCACTGGTAGCACCTCACCTCCTTTTTTTTTTTTTTTTTTTTTTAATTTCTTTTTTTTCTCCTTTTGTGTTGATCTGAACTGAAATAAGGTTCATTACGGGGCACTGCGGATTAGCATGAAGGGCTGAATAGAAATCAGCACTGAAATAATCTCTCTCGGGTGGTAAAGCAGCAGGGGAAAGGATTTGTCAGCCCCCCAAAATCCCCTCTCAACCTTCTCTCTGCAGATCTAACAAGACTAGTATCTGTGCAAAGGTTGGCCAAATGAAGTGACATTTCTGAAACCACACTTAAGCCAGTAGGTTGTAACACCACAAAGACACTGTGACTTGGGTCTGAGGGCTATGGAGGAATCTACAGCAAGGCTGAGCAATGCACACTATACTTCTGTAGTGTTACACATGTAACTCCCCTTGTAGGCACTCACGATGTGGAAGTAGTATCTCTCCTTAGTGTCATTTTCAAGATAATCAGGAGCAGCTGGTGATATAATTCTACCAAATTATATGCTGGAAAATTTCCACATGAAAAAAAAATAAAAATCAAGGCAGCTCCCAGAAGAGGAATCATTTGGATATCCCCTCAACATATCTGAAAAAAAAAACCCAAGCAAAAAAGGTCCTTTTCTTGTGATCTGTAAAAGCTGTTTTCCCCTGAAGAATTTTTGAGGAAGTCTGAGGTTGATCACAGAACCATTTACAAATCATGAAACTCTGAAAGTTGCTGACATGTTATTTTTGGAAAACAGTTGTGACTCCTGTCCTTAGGCTACTGATATCACAACAGGGAGAAGCCAGTTAGGAGGGGGGTTTTGGAGTTTTGATGAGTAAAGACTATATGGCCACCCCCTTTTGAAAACCAAGTTCCTGAAATCCATATCAAACTGGGCACCCTGAAACCAAATAACCTCTAGAAGGCATTGTGAGGAGAAGTCAGTTTGACAAGTCCTCGGCATTCAAAAGCCCAGCTCAGATGGGTAAGCACTGTGAGTAGGTAACACTTTCAGAAGGCCCAGTCTGCTCTGTGAGGGAAGTTGGAGAGCAATTTCACCAGGGACTTCGCTGTTGAAATAGCCTAGTTATTTTTAAAGCTTTTTGCTTCTGCCTTCATTGACCTGCACTGTAAATGTAACAAGCTTTAAGCTTTCTTTCACTCTTTGTGTTTTCTGTTTTCAAGGACCTCAATCCATTACTTAGAAGGTACAAATACAGTATAATCCCAGTGGATCTCTTGAGAGGGAGAGAAAATCCTGAACTCTCACTTCTTTCTCCTGTGTAAAATAATAGAGTCCTTGAGAAGACAGAAGTGGGGGGGTGCTGAAGGAAATCTTGGAGAGAAGAGGGCTCCAGTTAATATATTTCACATCTGTTCTTCACTAAAATGATGGCTCTCCTGCCCCCATGAGTCAGTCACACATCAAACCCACCTCCAAGAAGGGCACTCAGCTTTCACCCAAGTGCCTCTTTCTGCAAGTCCTGCTGAGCTATATATTTACCCTTCATAAACCAGTCAAGAGGCAAAAACTTTATCTACCTCCCTTTTCATTGTGGGGAACTCCCCCAGTGAGCAAACCACAGAAAGCTCCTGCCCCTGCTGTGGGTCAGCCCACAGCAATCTTTCCCAAAATGGCCTGGCCACATGTAGTCTGGAGGGGCTGTGGCATACCTAAGGCTGAGATCACAAGTTTGCCCACACAGAAGTGCACTGAAGGAAAGCATAACACATCAGGCTTCAGTTTGATCTGGGAAATGCACATGCCACACAAGCTTGCCAAGGTGATGTTAAACAATATTATTCCTTGGTTAATTACAATACAGGATTAAAATACTGGAGTTAGGACTTTGAAAAACACACGCTTTACCCTCTAGGACAGGCATAGCTTCAAGCAAAACAGCCCTTTTCCTCCAAAGTATTTGCAAGCTCAGCTGCTGTTCCATAGCACAGTATGTGAAGCAAGAGAAGCAAGATATGAAAAACAAAAACTGAAACTCCCTTTGCTGGGGAAGGAGAAATCATTTTGCTTCTAAACTTTCCCTGGTAGGGATTTTTTCTTTAGGGAAACTTTGAACTGGTTATGTACTTTCCATTCTAACATTTAATATCCTTTAAATGGTCTCAAAGAGCAAGCCTGTTATCTCCAGAGCCCTGGAAGCTGCTCTAGTTTCTCTCCGGCCCTGAGCAGTGGAAGTAATGGGACCTCAGCTGGACAGGTTCAGGTGTGGAAGTGAAGAGGCAATGATTGCCTGTCAGCCTTCTCCATGAGAAATAGATTCACATATTTGCAGGGCTCTCAGGAAGCACAGAAGCAGCATGGAAGTGGAAGTTTATCACTAAACACACTGTTTTGTGGACCTGAGACCTGCTTTCCTACAGGTGTGTCTTGGTGCATCTTTCCTTCCCTTACCTGTACTGCTCACTACACCAACCATAAGCCCTCAATCTCACTGAGCGAGAAGCACCATCTGCTCTGGTGAGTCCAGAGCCGCAAATGTGATGACTGATATTAGCAAGCAGCATGTAAAATGGCTGTGTTCTGCCTACCTTTCCCATAGTCAGGGCACCCATTTGGATATCTGTCTTTGACCCAATTGCTGATTTTCATGAATTTCATAGGCATTAATTCTCTATGAGTCCCAATCCCTCTGTCAGTTTGATAGAAAGCAGGTTCAGAACATACTGGCTGATAGACAGCCAGATGGCATGATCACAGAAATTTAATTCTCTGGGGGAAATGAGGCTAGAAGCACAAGGATGTGGAATGGATTCATGGGATAAGGTTAAAAAGTCAAGACTTTGTAATTTTTTTCAGTGTCGATAGAGCCTTGAGAATGCTGTTCGTGAAATGAACATTCCACGAACATATCCTTTTTTCTTAAACCAGGTAAGTACTGGGTCCCTTGGATACTCAGATAGGGGATTTTTCTTATTTTCAATTCCAGTGTGTGGCTGAGAAAGATGTGTAAGTTTCCTTCTTACTTCATGTATTTGCCCTGAGCACCAGCATTCATCAGGAAGCACAGAGTTTTAGAAAAACCAAAACCTTAGGTATCTAAGGAGTACAAGTAGCTCTCTACAATGATGAATCAAAGGTTAAAAGAGAGGTGGCAAAGCAGCATTTAGCATTTCTGGGAAGGCATAGATTTTTCTGTATTGGGATATGATTACCAAACATCCTTTGTTCCACTGCATTTAGGTTCCTCCTTTCAATAAGGTACATCCTTGTGCCTCATGTCTATTGTGAAGCAACTGAGGAGGGGGGCTTTTTATTTATTTTAGTTATTATTAATCTCCTATGCAGCAATAAAAGCCGTCTGCTTCAGTTCAACTGACAAAACCAGGAAGGCTTTTATGTTTAGTACCATGTCTAAAATAATATACTATGTGTAATGTGGCATTGTCAGCCAAAGTAACAGTGACAGAAGATTCAAAAGCCACAGATGAAGAATAGTAATGTATTTTGAGGGGCCCAGCAGAGCTGCATTTACTTTCCTGTCATGCTAAAATCTTGATGTTCACCATGCCAACAAATAAAAGCAACTGAGAGTTTCCAGGTTGCAGCTAATGAGGTGTACGTAGATTACTCACAAACTGGAGTTTGGAAAGTTTAATGACAAAATTCTCTTCCCTGCCCCTTCACAGCACATATTGGGTCAGGGCCAAATTTGCTGTTTAAACAGTGGCAATCCAGCAATACTGAGAAGCCAAAACACTGGAACTTTGACCTGCTGGATGGCACAGAGCTTTCTACTACAGACTGTCTTCTGCTGCCAGCTCGATAAATAACACCCAGTTAATTATACACAAGAGCCAATCCTCTGAAACACCTGGACTTCCAAGTGAGACAGTTGAGATGTGCCAGCCCTGCTTGTCAAAGTCCTGATTAAGCATGCTCATGTAGAAATTGAAATGTGACCCAAATTACAGACCCAAACTGGAGGTATCAAAAATCAGAAGCAACTGTTGAAACTGTTGGCCTAGGTGTTTAGAAACTGTCTTTAAGGAAACAGGAGGAAGAACTTACCCTATGTCTATCTATGCAACTGTAAGAACTAGAATAAGGCTGTATTGAAGCTATTGGTTAGCTAGCAGGCTAAAGCACTGCATTCAAACTGTGGTGTCTGCTGGAGGTAGAGATTGAAATCTCATTTTCAACAGGTCCCTGATTTCTCCTTTGTCATCAGTGTGCTAGATGATGCTGGCATCACCAGGACTAGGGACATCTTGGACCACAACTTGCAGATTTTGATGGACTCCCAATTTTTGATGGACTCCCAATTTTTGATGGACACCCACCTTCCATTTGGGGTTGCCCATGCTGCCTTCTCCAGAAGGTAAGAAGCTGATTATTGCCTGCTGTCTACTTAATTCTGCAACAGTACTCCCCAGTCTACTGAATTCTGCAACAGTAGTCCCCAGCCAATCCCAGTAGTCCCAGCCTTGCAGAGCTCCTTCTTGGACCTTGCATCTCCTTACCACACCTGGTCAGGCAGTGTTTTAGGAGAGATCTAACCCCCAAATCATGCTGTGGAAATATTTACTCCTGATGCTCTTTTATCTTGCCCATACACCTCCCTAAACATGCATGCTGTGGGACTTCTTACATTGGAAAAGAATGAAGGATCCCAGTAGGTCACCTTGTACTCTTATCTGATTGCACAGCCCACAAGGTGTGTAGTTCAGGGAATACTTGTGGGAGCAGCCTGTGCTAACATCAGGTCTCACAGGGTGCCCTCACTGTTGTGCACCATCTGGGGACCCAACCATCTATATGGACCAACTGTGCCAAGCTGCGGCCTCTCTGCTGGTGCCTCTAAGACCTTTTGTTGTGGGGTGGGTATTTTTATACCTTCCCCAGGTGAGGTCCTACTGAGTCATGGGACTTCCTGATCAACTTCCCCCACTATCCCCAGCAGCAGAAAGAGGAAGCCTGGTGACAAAGTCCTGGTGAATGAGGAGCCTATATCCATTCCCTTCTCTTCTCAGGTCTCCCAGCGTGGCACCAGTGGGCACTGTTCACTGGCTCCTGGGATGTTTTCAGGGTGGTGTGCCCCACATCCCCTTTTGGTTCCCTACCTGTACATTCCTGACCTTTTAACCTTGGTCATAGAATCACAGAATCACAGAATAGTTAGGGTTGGAAAGGACCATAAATCATCTAGTTCCAACCCCCCTGCCATGGGTAGGGACTCCTCCCACTAAACCATGTCACCCAAGGCTCTGTCCAACCTGGCCTTGAACACCGCCAGGGATGGAGCATTCACAACTTCCTTGGGCAACCCATTCCAGTCCTTCACCTCTCTTCTCTCCTTTGTTGTCACCTGAGATCATTCGGCTTTCCCCAGGTCTTTCAAAGAACAGTGAACTACTAACAAGTGAACTGAGATCAATGCAGGCATACACTGACCTTAAACAGAATACTTATCTAGCCTGAAAAGAGTTAAGCCAACTCACCTTCACTATGTGCAATAACTTTGTTCATCAAATTGTCTTTTCACCATATGACCTCTTTTCAAGTTCATTTATAAATAGGTTAAACCACAGGAGCCCAGGAACAAAACCCCCTCAAACATCACTGGAGACCTCACTCAGATGTGAACGCTGGCCATTTATCCTCCCCTTTTAATAGGTTATTCACATGAAGACGTTTCCTCTTGTCCTATGGGGCCTTAATTTCTTTCATAGCCCTTACTGGTGGACCCTTAGCCTTTGGAAATTGTTCCTGGGACTCTATATGGCTGACCTTGTTGTGGTTTTTATTTAACTTGTCAGAGTTTATGATCCTTTCTATTTTCCATTCTTGGACACAAATTCTCTTTTCTGAAGAAAGTCTTCTGCTTCTAATAAATTCCTTTATCCTGCTGTTAGCCATGTCAGCTTTCCTTTTGGTCTTTCCAAAGCCTTTGTCTGCAACAGAGAGGCTTAGAGCAAATGTACTCCTGCATGTTATGTTTAAATAGTCATCATACAAACATTTTTGCCTTCAGTCATCCATTTTAGTTTCTTTTTAGCAAGGTTCCTTGCTCCTACGTAATTCTATTGTACTTGGTTAGGCTTTTTTTGCTTTTGTTCCCTAGGCAAGAATGTTGAGCAGGGGCATTTTGAACCAGGTTCTGCATGTTGCTCAGGGCTAATATAAAAGTTTCTTCTTCTTTTGTAGGCCCTTTCATGCAGAAACACTGTTTTATTTCTCTGCAGCATCAATCTCCAATGTGACATTTACTCAACATGCAGGCGGGAAACTCATATCTCCTGTTATTGTTGCATTCTTGCCCTGTCAGCAACTCTGGTCTCCCTCAGCATGTAATAGATGCAGACATCTGATCTAACCCTGATATGGCATATTTTTTACTTAGGCCAGGAATGTCAGGCTATATAGGTTTTTAGCTGCTTGGAAACACAATTAGCTTGCTACTTGGATTTGGCACAAAACTTTCTCTACTGCATGCTACCACTTCTCTACTGCTGGTGCCTCCTTTGGGGTTTTTTTATATGCTTTTTACCTCGATTCTAGAGCATCAGATTAATTGCCTTTTTCCCATCAAGCTTCTGATACACATAGTATGAGATGATCCCTACTTAAAATCAGGCATTTTTGTTTCCTCATCTTGTTTGTTAGACTTCTAGCATTTATAAAGAAACATCCTTTATTTATATATGAGATTCTTTTTGTTTGATTTTTCTGTATTTCTTCTCTTTCAGTTTCACCAATTTTTTTATTATTCACTAGAGGATAAAGATTTCCCAACTTCCTGCACTGAATATATGCCATCCTGAATCATGTTTTAGCACTTGTCAGCTTCTCCATTCAATGTTAAAAAAATCTCCTAACACCTTTATAAATGCCACCACCAGTTTCATTTTAGTTTACCTGACTCTGACTACATATGTTCTGAAAGTTTTCCCATTTTCTAAGAAGTTCAAATCCTTTGTCTTCAACCATTTCCTAGCTACTTGCTGAGAATTTGTTGCTGTTTCTCCCAGTTCAGCCCTGCTCTTGGTATTGGAAGCATTCCAGCTGAAGCTACTATGGAGCTCTTGGCCTCCAGTTTACCATATGACTGCATGCATTTTGCCTCCAGAAACCCTCTCCTCCCTTCCTGAGGACATTGCTCCATTCACTGTGTTGAAAGGCTCCATCAGGCCTTCCCCAAGAGCCTGCCCAGATATTCCACAAAATCCAGCAAGCAGATGCTGCATCCAGCAGTCTGATCACCACACAGTCCTGTCTGGACCGTGGATGCCTGATAGAGCATCCGTTTTCTTATACCACTGTATCTTCCTAAAAACTGGGATCTGAAGAATGATCTCAGTGCAAAAGTGTATGTGGCCTCAAGCTGTGAGATCATTTCTGCCTACCCAACCCAGGATAAGACTTCCATCCACAAAGCTTTCCCTCACTTCAGCAGCATGGGAACTATATAAGCCTGGAGGTAAGACTGCTCAGTGATGATCTCAAAGACTGTCAGTGCATCTATCTGTTATCCTGAACGGTTTTCAGTTCAGGTCTCAAGGACTAGGATATTGGGCTAATTGCACTGGATACACACAGTTGTTACCTGTGAACTGAGTAGATAGTGATTTATAGCTCTCAGTGAAGCAAGCTGATGAATCCTTGCCCACTCAGGGCAGCTGCTGCTGTAGTTTGTTTATGATTAGGGAGGGTCCGATGGGCTCTATCCCCACCTCCAGACACAGATCCCTGAAGGAGGAAGCATTCAGATACCTAAACCAAGGAGAGAGGCAAAATCCCCCTCTGGCAGATCTTTTACATCACCCAGCACTGCTGGTCTGGACAAGCTGTGATTTTACAGTGAGTCTTTGGTTTCTCTCTTACTCCTTGTCACTCACATCCAGCTAGGGGAAAGTGTGAATAAGAAGCACAGTTTAAGGGATGCTGAAATAAATAGCCACTGGTAACTATATACTGTCACATTGCTTGCCCGCAGGTACACTTTGGTTCTTCCTTTTTTTAGATTGGAAGAACAGTTTACAAACATTTCAGTTCTACTGCCCTGAGCAGAGGCATTTCACAAGTGTCAGAAATGGTGACCTGGAAACAAGAGACCTTGTACTTAAATCACTCTTGGGGTTGAGATATGTTCAGTCTTTTTGGTTACATTTCTTCTATATACTGACAGTTGGTCCTTCATTCTCCTTTAGCTTTCGAAGAGAAGATCTACTGCCTGAGAACTCCACGCTCACAGAAGACAACAAGACCCAGGAAGCAACAGCAAACTGAGAGCAGCAACACCAACAAAGACTGTGAAGCACCGGATGTGTAGTCATCACTGGAACAGCAGCTTGATGGGAGGTAGCCAAGGATGAAGCCCAGCCTGTCTGTAGACAAGGGTCCAGAGCAAGTAGAAAAAGGAGCATGCTTATCTGGATTCCCTTAAAATCCCTGGGAACCACTTTCTTCAGAGCAGTAGGATACAAGGCTCTCTCAGACCTTAGCTCGCACAGCCTCCCTCATTCCTTCAGCACAGAACTCTGCACACAAGCTGTCGTCAGCAAAACCCTTAATAGCCATGCTGATGCACATAAGAGATGGAAAGGGGAACCACTGCTTCTTGAGGGGGAGGCAGAGGAAACAGGTGACATGGTGGGAGGATGAGCAGTGAGAAATGGAGAAATGAGAAATATAAAGTTTTCGCTAGAGCTGTGACATATATACCTCTTCTAAGTGTAATGGGACTAGACGGCAGAGTGGGCAGACACAGCTTTGTGGCCTTTTAAAAGAGGAACAAGTGACAAATATGTGAAGATACTAAACTGAGTATCAGGTCCTGAGGGCCCTGACTCTCAAGCTCTGGGAGGTGATTTTAAGAAGCTGCTGGTCCAAGATGCCTACCCATTGCCACAGGTTATTGACCCACCACTAACTTGTCAGAAGTAATGCTATGGCCACACCATAGGCACCATTTCTTGATATAAACTGCAGGAACTGTGCCTAATTCAGTTCAATAAGATGTGGACTGTGGTGGCCAAGGGACTTCATTCTTTATCAGGCATAGCTGAAGAGGTGCCTGACTGAGGTCGGAAACCTGAGTCACCACAGCCTAACATGACAGGCACCAGAGAGTGCAGGGAGAGCCTTGTTACTATTTAAGCCAATTTGTTTGTCTTTCAACCTCCCTTTCTCTGCTTTTCACAAACTCCTTTAATGTCCAAGCTTGCCGAAGGTATTGGAGAAGTTTTACAAAAGCTCTGTAAGCATGTTCTGTTGGTCTGTTGCCTTTTCTTTAGGGAGCTTCCTGCCAGACTGAGTAGCACAGGTAGGATGTAATCCCTTGACATGGCTCAAAGAGCACTGGTAGTTTATAGCATGTCTGTTAGGGTGCAGCAAGGGCTAAGGAGAAATCCCAGGGCAGCAGGCCTGGCAGCCAGGGCCCATCCAATCACCCCAGCCAGGGTACCCTAGGCAGAGGCAGCCTCTGCCCCAGGCATCCAGACCCTCCACAAAAACAGGGATAAACCCAGGACCATGCAGGGTAGGGCTGCAGGGATCTGATGTGGCATTACTGGGGCAGAGATTCACAGCCCTGGGGGGTTGAAATGGGGTCCTGGTACCTGGATGGGGTGGAGGGAGCCCCAGGGCAGCTGGGGCAGGGGCAGGCTGGGCTGGTTGTGCCCTCAGGGCCCTGACAATGCCCTTGACCAAGAGTAAGGTTTTGGTCATCTCAGCTCATATTAAGGAACTACAGAAAAAAACCTACTCCAGCAAATGAGTTGCAAAACTAGGCTTAATCCACTGTAAACAAAATTCATTACTGCTATCTTGGTCATGTGTTCTGATAACCACAGGGTGAATTACCACTGCAGAACCAAAAAGATGCAGTCTTACACTTAGTGACAGCTTTGCACTGCTTCTGGAGGCTTGGTTTAGCTCTGACTACAGTGATCCCTGCATGTGCTAGAAGGAGCTGCTAATAAATGGCAAGTAGTCCCACAAGAATCATGACTAATGGCTCCTGCTCGGTTAGATAATCAACCATTTAATAAAGGGTGAGCTTCTACCTCTTCCTCTCCATGGGGAGCATTAATGCATTACTTTTCCCCTCCTTAGCCACTCATTTCCACAAAACTGTTAGGAGTTCAATATTTTTTGAAACCACCCTTCCTCTATTAATCTTAGCTAAAATTGCCCAATGGATTCAGAAGTTATTAGGACTAGCTAGATGGTTGTACAGATGTTGACAGAGACAGACACAAAGCATTATTGTATTAAGAAATCACTCAAGTTTATAGCAACACAGATTTTTAAATCACGTTAACATCCAGCAGGTAGCTACTAGCATGAGGATTATGTTTCATTTCTGCACAAGCCTGACTCACTAGCAGCCTGAGAAGCTAAAGGACCTCAGAAAGAAAGGGTCATTGCTTAGAATTCATGCCTTGATGGTCTTCTCTGGGAAGGAGTGATTGCTTGTGGACATGGCAGGAAGGCTTCCATAATTATTCTTCAGAGAATTAAGGTTTTGCTTTGAGCATTCATTCCAGATCTTTCAAAGCTGCAGTTATTATCCTTCTCCCCTACAACATGTTATAAGTTAAATCCCTGCTCACTCTTTCCACTTCCCATGTTAGCCTTTCCTTCTTGTATCTTGAGACTTGAAGGAGTGGAGGTTGGTGCTCTTACTGATGTTGATTTTCTCAATAGCTAAAAAGCCTTATTGCTTTATTTGTGAGTATTTGTTTTTCAGGGAAATTCAGGCTTTAGGTTGTCGTGGTTTAAACCCACTCAGCAATAAATCACGCAGTTGCTCTCTCACTCCGCCCGCTTCTTGCCCTCCCCCTACTCCTGGAGAGGAGAATAGAAAAGAATGCAACTCCCATGGGTTGAGATAAGAACAGTTTAGTAACTAAGGTATAACACAAATCACTACTGCTACCACCAATAATAATAATGATAAGGGAAATAACAAGGGAAGAGAATACAACACCTCACCACCCATTGACCAATAACTCGCCCCCCCAGCCTGACCAAGCACCGACTGACACCTCCGATACCTAGTCCAAGCCCCCAGTGAACTAGCCCTTCTGGGTAACTCAGTTACATCCTGGGCATGACGTGGTGGTATGGAATACCTCTTTGGTCAGTTTGGGTCAGGTGTCCTGTCTGCTTCCTCCCAGCTTTCCCTCCTCCCTGGCAAAGCATGAGACTCACAAAGTCCTTGGCCAGACCAAACATTTGAGCAGTAATTAAAAACATTGGTGCTATCAGTACCATTCCCAGGCTGAAAGTCAAAAACACAGCGCTTCACCAGCTACCAAGAAGGAGAAGAAATGACTGCCACTGCTGAACACAGGACATAGGTATGAACATTTATGAGTAATTTCTACTTAGAACTATTTAAAATATAGTAAGTTCTACATTATATATTTGTTTGAGCTTTGGTTTACTTGTTCATGTATTTTTGGCAAAGAACAGATGCTGCTTGAATGTTTCCTATGAGGCATATTGAACACACTCTCGGAATCGCACTTGAGCCAAAGGTCAATCTTTCTTAGCAAGCCAGCCAGTGACACATTACTCAATGGTTTCCCAATTTTGGTAATGAAGACTTATAAAGTAGACTGTAAATAATTCTTCATTATTTTTTTAATTAAATTTTTGCAAACTACTGAAATATATGCTTTGATTTTTTTTAATTAGTGGCCTGCAGAGGACAGCATCTGGTTTTCTACCTACAGGATTATTTAATATGGAGAATTCCAAGTCTTACAATAAATTGATCTGGCAACTTTCACTTCAGAATTACAAGTTGAGTGGTTTCCACTACCAGCCATGCCTACAGTTCTGATTATCTGAGATGTATATTTCTCACAAAACTTAAGCTTCTTTCCAACTAAAGTCTGAAATGGCTGTGTCATATCTGTGGGCCGCTGTCTGCTTATTGTAAAGCACCTCATTTAACAAACCTCACTGCCATTGGATTTAAAATGATGGTGTTCATGCCCAGACAAGCACCCTGTTTCTTCCATGAGAGGCTTGGTTACTTCAGAGATGTGCCAATTATGTCAGGGAAGAATCATCCCTGCAAAACTCCCCATGCTGGCCCTAAGCAGAGTAGTAAAAACGGGTCAGTGAAATAAAAACTGTGATTTGTCACCATGTAAGGGCAGGAGGAATTACTAAAAAGCTCATTGTGTTCCCTCCTCACCCTCTGAATCAGTCTGGGTGTTACAGTTCAGTCTGTGCATTTCAAAAGCAGAAATTAGTGTTGCCTGAGTATTCGAGATGTCAAGGCCACCCAAACAAGCAATGGATGTGTCATTTGTTTGTGATGCTGTCTACTTTCAGATTATTCTCTAAACCATATCTTAAGTTAAAATGATAGTTTGTTCATTTTCAGAATGGGACAGAGCAGGGTTTTGGTGGATGAAAAGAGAAAATAATACTGTTTTTTTTCAGGAAGAGCTTTTTATTGCTATTCATCCAAAGACAGAGCAACTGAGAGCTGGTCAGTCTGAGTGATTTTCTTAAAGAAAGTAGGGAATAACAAGTCACAGGAAGCCTGGCCATGTTTCCAGTAGAGAACAGATCATTTGTCTCTTATTTATCTAAAGTGGTCAACCAAAATGGCAACTTCCTTCAGCAAAAAAAGTAGAACTACATAAATTTAAAAGTACCACAAGCAGTACATAACTATATATGCCATGGAGACTGAGACATTTCCTACTGACAGTGGAAGCAGAATGTTTACATTATAATTTATTCTTGATGGCTCTGAACGATAAACGTCAAAACCAAGTGATCTTAGAGGGAAATGTATTCTGGCAGATTCTCAGTCTGCTCTGAAAAGCATATTCAGACTGAAGGAATTGATGGAACTGATATTTTTCAGAAGTCCTTGGTTTTCTCCTTTCATCTACAGTTTCTAAATACAGATCTGTAATATTTTCCTCATATGTTCAGAAGGTCGGAATTTCTCTTGAGATGACTTCCTAACTTTTTTAACTGCCGCTTCACCCTCATTACTCATCTGTCCTGTTATTTTATCTTTAAAAGTTTTGAATCAAGGAGTTATCTTTGTGAAACATCTGGTCAAGCAGTTATACAGTACAAAAGCTCACGTTCAGGGCTCTTTATCTGGTAGAGATGAGAGGTGAGTGAGACCTGGCAGTCAGTCGAAAGGGCCTAAGTATCTGATCTCCTCCACTCTCCTTTATACTCTGCCCTAGGAATGGTTGTGCTTCGGAATGAGTGCACTTCTTTCCTTTCTGAAGATTCACTAGCTGTAATGCTGTAGGATTCTCTAAGATGTTATTTGAGTATAAATCACTTCTAAATCTTTATAAAAAACTGATAGAAGAGAGAGCAGCAAGAACAATATTGGGATCTTAGTTTAAATTCTATTCACTTTCTGGTTTTCAGTTACCCTCAGTGTGAAGTATGGAAAAATACAGAAGTGAAGAAAATGATTTTGTTTCAGAAGTGGTTTATTGTCCAGTGTAGAAGTGGACACATTCACTCCACAAGAGCTGTGAATCTGCACTGGTTGTTGAATCTTACTGGAATTTTATTTTCCACCAGTTCTCAGTTCCACATTTTATTTCCTTCCTGGCACACCTTTCCTGTGTGCCATGTACCCAAATCTCTAACCAAAAGGAACAATATGTGAGCCATGTTGTTTGAAGAAAGAAAAGGGGAGATGTGATAGGAACCCTAGATACAGATTATCAACCAGCAAAGCACCCCAGCAACCACATGCTTAGCCTTGGCACTGCACTGCACTGCACACACTCACCATTCCTCAGTGAGTTTGTTTAGCTGAAGAGGCCAGAGATGTGCTTTCCACACATGGAAGGTCAAGATCACTGATGAGTACAATTGCTCCCTCTGCAGGCACTAATGAAAATAAGGCTGGAGGCCGCCTTGCATTCTCTCTTTTTTACACAGGGGTAGTTAACCTGTTGGAAACGCACTTGTGGGTGGGTTTTTAAAACAAAACAAAACAAAGCACTAATTGAAGGGTGGGAGATGTCTGGATATGCTGCAGGATTCCTTTAAGGGGAGGGAGGGAAAAAAGACAGGCAGAATTTCTATTTTGATGAACTGACTCTAGGTGGCAACAACACGCTGTGCAGCCTTAGCAGAGGCTAGTCAGGCAAAGACTCTTTAATGGTGCTTACACAGACGCAAAAAAAAAAAAATAAAATTAAAAAAAGAGCATTTTCAGTACTGTTTCTAGGAGATTTTTCAGCTGATTGCACCACCTGCACATTGCTAGAAACATGTCCAATGAAAACAGTCAGTTTTCATTGTAATAGACCTGGTTTTCAACACATATTCTGAATAAGATGCTGTGTGTTTCATTTTGTAGGCATAATACTGCAGGTGTGCAGAGGAAAAACAGCAAACTGTTCTCTTTTGGTTATCTTACTTTGATGGGCAATCTCAGGAAGCACGTGTATAATCTTGATTTGTAATGATGCCCGTAGAAGTCCCCAGATGGGTGGGTACAATTGCAGTTCTGCAGCATTTACCAATGACGTTCTTGAAATGTCACTTCATCACCTTGTCAAAAAAACAGCCACACAGGTACCTATGAAATGCTCACCACATCTTCTGTGTAAGATACTGCCAAGATATTTTTAATGCCCGATTTCATTCCCTCTTTGCTATGTATCCAGTTTCCTGGGCTTAGCAGTAGATGAGCAAACACCTGCATGGTATAAAAATTCTTACAAGTATGAACAGCAGTGTTTTCACATTTTTCTCAAAGTCAGTCTTACTGTTAACTCCACTGACCCTTGAAATATTTAAATCTGTTATTGATGTGTTCATAGGTACAGGGAGAATGCAGATTAAAAACCACTAGGTTTGATTACCCATTCCAGCAAAGAACTGTCACTGTGACTACACTATATACTAGTAATGCCCATAGAAAATCTTTCAAGTGTGATCATCTCCATCATATTTGTAGCAGGCCAAAGTGTCTGATGGAATCTACAGGGTGTGATAAACTTTATTACTCTGTCAGAGTGAAAAATCTGTGAAACCCTGTGATTAAATCAGCTGTTTTGTACAATTGACCCATTCACCTGCATGTTGTCAATTAATCACCTCTGAGGCTAATTCCAGTACTTCAAACCTCTAAGCTGCTTTCAAAGAGAAGAACTGTCATTTAAAATGTAAAAATGTATCACCTGAAAGCAATTTCTTCCTTTCTTACCAAAGTGTGGAATTTCCCTTTAAATGAGACTGAACCAGGTTTCCAGCTTTACAGTATTCTGAATCAATATCTTATAATCCTCTATAAACCTGGTAGACTGGTTTGGTTTTTATTAATGAATAAGTACAAATGAATCATGATTTATTCCTACTACGGACATATAAGCCTATCTGGGATGACAGTGCCCTAAAAAGGAAAAAGAGAATTCACTAACCCTTTAAGGTACTTTGTGTCATGGTACTCCATATAACAATTAAGTTTATTAGTTTCCTTCCTTTCAATTTAGCAGTAGTTTTACTACACACTTTTGAAGAGTGGGGACATTATGGCAAAAATAATGGAAATGCAGCTGGAAGAAACTGGTTATATTTGGGCAATATATGACATACCACCCAAATGAATATCATAATAATTGTTCTTCAAATTTTCTTGTGCTACAAAGGCACATTTGTGTAAAAATAATGTTGTTAATCACAGTGGATATTTTCAGTTGCATTCTGATATACCCACACTGATTCAAGGTCCTAGGACTCTTAGCTGAGGTGTCAGGGTTGAGCACTGAAGACTCATTTTAGACAGGCTCTGTGATCCTCTCAACCTGCACAGCTTGATAAAGTACAGTCATCTATAGCCATCATAACATCCATCCTGTGCTATCTGCAGTAACCCTCCAATTCAAAAAGTGACACTTTCATTACAACCACTGTGGCTGTTTTCAGGAGTCATTCACCTTGTGGCATCTGAGGTAGACAAGGTTTCTCACATCTGTTTGTCTCAACACCTCTGCTTTCAGATGCTAGTAGCCCTCATTTCTCTCATATGTCCTGCATGCTCATAATTTTATTTCTGCTTCCCATACAAGGTGCCCCATTCTTCTCATTCTCATGCCAGAGAAAGTTCACCTCACACTCCTTAGAGGTGGCATTTTAATACCGCATTCCGCATATTTTCCCCGAAAGCTTAGCCTGTACTAATAGTCTCTGCATTGTTTTTTCACCCAGTTGGGCTTCTCCCATCAGGCTACCTGGTTCTGTTCCCTTTCTGCCTTCTTCACAGCAATGCTTTTGTTGATCCTTTCACATGTTGTTTAAAATGTGGTTTTCTCTTTCTCTTCATGCAAAATCTGTGTTGCACTGTGGGACTTCTTACTAGAAATCCACATTTGCCCCATGCTAGAAGCTTTGTGTGCCCCATGTAATTTTTGTCCCTCTTCCTTTCCTTACTCCTTTATCTTATTTCCTTTCTCTTTCAAGGTGTCAACATTTTGAACACAACAGGATTATAAGGCCAAAATGAGTAATGTGTTGAGACTAACGTTTTTCTGCCATCAGCTAGCTCTTTGATCCACAGGAGTTTAGCACGTGCATTTCAAATGCTAGCTGTCCTTACTACAAATGTGTGGAACATGCTGCTTGCTGAGAACCCAGTGGGTTTCCAGATACAGCAGGGTAGGTCATATGCTAGCAAGTCACCATGGTCTTACCCAGTATTGATGTGGGCAAAATCAACGTGACTACAGGCAGTAAGAATTAAAGCTGTTTCCCTAACCAAAGCCTACCTTTCTGAAAATCTTCCATTGTCCTTCATTTCAAATCCCAGAGTTACTGCCTCTTCAAGAATTCTGTTCTGTGTTCACTTTTCATTTTGGTTCTCCAAATTACCTTTTCTGTTTCTAAACACAATTTAAGGATTTTTTTTTCCCCACAAGGCAAGCAACATTTAACGTATCTTAAATTTATTATATGCAAAACTGGTTTTAGGACAGTAATCATTAATTAATGACAAATCATTGATTCAGATATTTAAATTGCTATTGGGGCTTATAGATCTTAGTGATGCAGAAACATTTACTCAACATTATTCTGCCTGTGGTGGCCTTCTTACTATATGCATTGTTAATTTCTTTATGTGCAGTTAAGCAACGAACATTAAAAGAATAAATTCAAAGTAAAGAGGAAGATGACAGGAAAAGCTATAGTGTCTTTCTTTGGCTTCTCAGGTTTAGCTTTTTAGACCTAAAAGCTGCAGGTTTTGGTTTTCTTAGTTTATTATTTTTAAATGCAAAGAAGCAGCAAACTCTGATTAGAAAGGCTATAAGCATTAGGGCTTCTGATACTGTTTCACACTGTAATTAACAACATCCAACCAGCTCATTTCTATCACACAGAATGCATACTTCCTCTGGGAACTAATATAGCTCAAGAAAACTAAGACACTAGCACATAACATGAATTCTACCAGTTTCATACCACTAGTAGACACAGAATCACATCCCAGGGAAAGTTGAGCTCCCATTAGATTAGATTGATATTTTCTTCCTTCTGTTGTTTTGGGCACAGGTGGGAGGTTTAATGGTTCATCAACATCTTTATGGAAATCCATCCCGGCTTAAAAACCCCCAACCAAACAACAAAACATTGTATATGTAGTGCTGATGGCAAATGACTACTAAAATGCAATTGTTTTCTGCAGTTGCTTTAGCTGTGCCATTGTGTTTCATGATGTGGATGGGAAATGCAAAGGGAAACAGATATTGCTGCCATCAAATTGCTGCACAAACTCCAGCTGTGAGACAGTAATTGGTTTTTTTATGTAAGGCAAGAAAAGATGAGCATATTTTGAATCTGTTAGTAGTACAGGTTGGTCAATCCTCTTGAACAATCTCAGTCTGGTTAAACACACAAATAGCATGGGAAAACTGATGTACTGAACTGATAGCTTCAGCCTGAAGACTTGTTTGGGTGACGTAGCTTATAGGAGAGTAAGTAGGTAATAGATGTAGCAGTGCTCTGCAGTACTGGCATCATAAGTCACCATCAAATTAAAGCATGATTCAAGTTTATATGTACATAATGGCTGTGTGAGATGTAAGTAGTTTTCAGATGGGTGAACATCTTGGACTGTATGTGATCTTGTCACATTATTATCTTTTCCAAGATATATGAAGTCCCTACTTTTTTTTTGCCAGGCACACTTACTATGTTCTTGTACTGAACTCCCACTATATGAAAAAGGTGCAGCTAAAACGGGTGAATCTAGTTGATTATGAAATAAAAAAATAAAAAAATAAAATCTCCTGTCTCCGGTAAAGTTTTGGAGTTTTGTACAACAAGTGACTGCAAGGCTTGAGGTGGAAATTTCAGAAGTGGCTCATTGACTTGGAATTGTAAAATATTGAAATAATGGAATGTTCTGTCTCCAAAGTAGCTAGCTTCTGTTGGTTTTCATCTAGTAAGTTTGCATCTATTTGAAGAAACAGTAACAGTCGCATATTCAATCTACCCTGCGATTGATTTAAGGATGAACCACACAGCAGGTTACTAGCTCCCGTAGTAGAGAGATTTTCATACTGGAATCAAATGGTGCTTGACAGGACTACCTAGAGCATAGACCACACAAATACGCAACTATGCTGGTTACATGAGTGTGTCTTTAGATACCTGAGTCCCTAAAGGCCAGATCTGCAAAGAGGTTTAAAAAGAAGGATTTGCAATTTCCCAGCAACATAGTCCTAGGTGATCTATGGAAAGAAAAGCACCCAATGCTGTGCAATTGGACAGGATGTTCATACAGGCACAAGTGGATGACCGTGGCAGGGGGCCATTAGTCCATCCTGGATGAGAAAATGAATCTGCATATCAGGTGAAAAACAGTATCATCTGTTGTCACATCTTCTCCCCCTAATCACCAGCAAAAGCAGCTTCAGAA